CCCTATGCTCTTGCCCAGCTATTGCTGCGCTCTGTGCACCTGCTTATTGTCCCTTCCTCCCTGCCTGCTGCAGCCATTTCCTGGCTCCTACCCTGTCTGCTGGTACCACATAGTTCCCAGCTACAGTGCTGGGACCACAAGAGCCAGCCTGGCCAGCCCTGATGACTGGAACAATAGTCCATGATCCTTCACTGCCTCCCTCACTACTCCCCTTATCTGTATTTCCCTTGGCACAGGGAGGCAGGTACAGCCCCAGGCCAGAGGCTTTCAGCTGGGGCTCAGGGTGGTGGGGTTTGGAGTGGGGGTGGGGTCAGGCTGGAATTGCTGCTGAGGCTGTTTATTTCTGCCACTGGCTCCCTCTGGGTCCTATTGCCCCTGACTCCTGTCATCTTTGACAGGTAGCCAGGGGCAGATTAATATTACTTTTCTAAATTTTTTTTTAGGGGCCCTGCGGGCCAAATGAAATGGCCTGGCAGGCCGGATTTTGCCTGCCCCTGGACTAGACTTTTAAATACTATATGCCCAAAATGGAGGGTTGACAGCTTTTTGGTAACAAAACTGTCTCGTTACCTATTGGGGGGTGTGTGGAAAGTATGTGTGTGCATGTGTTTAGAGAGAGAATGTATATAGATGGTGAAAATTTGGGCAGTACAAACCAGACCTGAAGAGTATCAAAGCACATTGTTTCAAAACTTGCAGGTACAACAGGTTTCGTGTAGGCAATACTAAATGAGAGGGCTGGTTATCTCCAAGTCTTAGGAAGTGGTGTAATGTGCCTGCCCCTTTCATTGGCTATGTACACATGTTCAAATCACTAGGGAGAATTCTCCTGTTTGCTTTTCCTGAGAGAGAAACTTACCAGGAACAGCTGAACAGACATTCAGCTGTTGAGCCCCTGAAGACCAAATTGTTTGCAGTGCTGAGGCTGCACAGTTAGGGAGGGGCTGTCTGTGTACACGTCTTGGCGTGCTTTGCAGGCCCAGTCTGTCTGCCTGGTGGCAGGTGGCATCAGTGCACAGGGAAGCGCTGCTTAGCTGACCAAGACGGCTTGGAGTCAGCCTCTGTTTCCCTGCAGCACAGTGACAGGGCCATGTTCTACTTCTACTCAGGTGGAGCAGTAGAGGCAAACCTCGGCAACAGAGTCTTGGGTGGGGAGGAGAGGCTGTGGGGAGGAAAGCACCCTGGCATGCTACTTGACTGTGCTGTGACTTCTCAGAAGGGCAAGGACATGTACTCTTCCAGGAGAAACTGTCTTGGGAATGGTTTAACCCTGTTTGTTCCCAGGTTATTTTCCTCCTGAGGCAGCTTTTTTAGCTCTGGGGGAAAAGTACTGAACAGATCTGTATATTCTAGAGGTGCACTGAGGCCCCCACAGTAAGCGATTGAGGCCCCCATGGTGAGGGAAGGAGGGAGTGGGGCTGGAGCAGGGGCAGGTGCTGCGCAGTCAGGTCAGGGTGGGGCACAGGATGGAGCTGTGGGTGGCTCACATAAGGGGGATGGAGATGGGGAGCAGCTCCCTGTGCTGTGCATACCCCGGGGGAAGCATGGGGGGCATGTGACCCCTGGATTTGTGCATGGGGCAAGGGCAGGCTGCCCACTGCAGGCTTGGGCTTGGGGCTGTGCTGGGCTCTTCCCAGTGGAGTCTGGGCTGTGGCTGTGGTTGGGGCAGGTGGAGGTAGGGCAGGCAGTCATGGTGCTAGGAAGTGGGGCTACAGGGTAGCTATGGGAAATTTTTGGGGTGGCTATAGCCCACTTCATAACCCTCACCCACCTCCCAGAGCAGCCCCAGCCCAGCCCAGCCCCTTCTCTGCCGGGACGAGGCTGCAGCATGCAGTCTACCCTCACCCTGTGTACAAATACGGGGAGCACATACCCCCCCCCATACCTCCCCTGGGTCTGTGCAGCATGGGGAGCTGCCCATGGCTCCATCCCATGGCTTACCCTTTTGCAGCTGGGCAGCCCCTGCCCCACTCCCTGCCTCACTATGGGTGGCCTTGATCTATCCCCTCATGCCCGTTCCTTCCTCCACACCCCCAGACTTACCAAACAGACACTGCTCTCTAAACTGCTGGGCTGCATATTGGCAATCTGTTCAGTAATGGCCAATATGGCTGGTTAATAATCAGCCATTGGTATCAGCCAAGAAAATCTTGATTGGTATACCCCTAGTATATTCATGGTTTCTCCTGAGAGCAGCAACTCTCTCAGAAGAAACTAAATGTTTGTATGTGGCTACTACAGTGTTTGTTTGTTTGTTTGTTTGTTTGTTTGTTTGTTTGTTTTTAAGTTCTCTCTGTCCATGTATAATTCTTTATCTAATCATTTCCAATAAACAACCCTGCATAATGAACTGTCATTAAAGAGATGTCTTTCTGATTTGTGAGGGTTTTTTTCTTTTCTTCTAAAAGGGTATTATGTATGATTCATATTCTTAAGTAAAAGTATTTTTTTCAGTCACCTCTGGGCTTATGGGCATCAGCTAGAACTTAATACTACTGTTTTTTAACTGATCCCTAACAACTTGCAAATTTTACACTAGTAGTAGTAGTCTCTTTTAAATAGCAGGTATTTTACAATTTCAGAATTTTAGAAAGCTAAGGAAATATAGAGAAATATATTTCACTTCCCCACTTTCCCTGGGAAGTAAATGCTCAAAACATGTATGAAAACTGGAGCAATTAAGCTGGAGTTGTGTTGTAAAAATGTGTTGTTTTGTTTTTTTTAAGCCACCACTAATTTGTCAGAATTGCTACATCTAAAACAGATTTTAATACTTGTGCATGTTCACATAATGTCTGTAGAAAACTAGACTCTGTTTATGAAAGTAGGAGATAAGTACAAGACAAATATTGTAAAATGCAATTGCAATGAAGCAACGTTTGTTTGTTTGTTTGTTTGTTTGTATACCAGTGTAATTGTGTGTCATTCCTAACCAGGATATAGTTATTCTTTGAAAGCAAGTACAGGGCCTGTTTACTCGGCGTTATCCCACAATTTTTGTTTTGTTGGGTAGCAAATCCTTTACATTAGAAATTTTTTGAAGTGGGTTTTTTTATGTTTAAATCAATTATAATGGTAAATGGCCATTCATTCCTACAAAGCTGCCTTTCCCCACCCAACTCCAGTACCCCTTCCTCCACCTTCAATTTTATTTTGCCTGTTATGAAAGGAACCTGTCCAACAATACTCATAGCTAAGTCAGTTTGTATAGGCAATCCTTGGACTTGGACACAATTGGTTCCTGAAAACCGTGTCTTAAGTCGAAACGTTGCAACTTGGAACCAATTTTCTCATAAGAAACAATGTTAAAAATGGGGGATTAATTCCTGAACAAAGGCCCAATACCCTATTTTCACCAAAAATACCCCATAATTTTGTATTCTATCAATTATAGATGAGTAATATAGCTACATTAATGTATTTATATTGCAATCACATTGATTTTTGGAAGGACTTACTTGAGGTGACTTTGCTGGACTTTTTGAAGGGCTCTTGGCTGGAGTCTTCTCAGGAGTCTTAGCTGCAGGTTTTTCTGGAGTCTTGTCTGCTTTCTTAAAGGAAGTGTCCAAGGAAGTTTGGACAGGTGTTCTCCAGGAAGATGGGCGACGCAGCGAACTTGTTTGCTGGCATGACGTCACATCAGATTGAGCATTGTAAAGTTGAAACTGATGTCAGAAAGTTGAAACGGTGTCAATTTATAAATGTTGTAAGTCAAGGACTGCCTGTAGTTTCAGTTCTAAAATCTTTAAGCTTCTCATGGCTTGTCGCTTTTGAGCCAAAACATGTTGATATTGGAAAAGTCAAAAAAAAAAAAAAAAA